CTCTCTTCTGAATCCGCCTCGGTGATCATGGTCGGGAATCTATTTCTTTCAAAAGTGTTGCGCCAGGTTTATGTTGTCGGCGTTTCTCTTTAAACCTAGTTGTTTTTTTGAAAACAAGAGATCCCGGCACCAAAACCAACCCGGCACCACAATGTACGAGAGAACCCGGCACCAATTTGAACGGACACGCATTTGTGTTGGATTTATGTCGATTTAACAAACATTTTTATTTTATTTGCAGATATACACATACTTTTAACCGGCTACTCGTACCTGTTTTTTTGGTTGTCGATTTTACGAAAAATGTTAGATTGTCGATTTCGTGAACGTTTGTCGGTTGCACTACCATGGAGGAACCTCTGTGCACGTATACCGATACTTAGTAAATGTATTTATTATAGTTCTTGATTCAAATACGAAACAACAAGTATATGAATCACGAGATGTTTAAACCATATTTCGTGGATGATTTTGAACGTACTTTGCATTGAGGGACTTATACAGTAAGATTAGGTTCATTCACTGAAGTGCCGGGATCGTTTTGGTGCCGGGATCGTTTTGGTGTCGGGTTGGTTTTGGTGCCGGGTTCTCTCGTATTCGTTTTTTTTCATGGACGAGGACAGTTTTTCCAAAAAATGAATCTGAGGTTAAGTGGCTTTCGTCCACTGATGTCGCACCTTAGGATCGATTAGAAACGTGTGAATACTTACACTATGACTATACGTTTCACTGCAACTGCCCACAACACAACAGCTAAAAACTCTCTCTTTAAAAAAAAAAGAAGAAAATAGACAAAAAAAAAGAAAGAAAGAAAACGCCGACTGAAAAATGTATATCGTTTAAAATTATACTGAAAGACCAGTGTTATTACGGCTCAGGGGTATGACTTCCTCTCACATTTTGACATTTGGTGGCGCACTTTCGGCGAGAGTCGGAAATCCGGAAACAATCGACCGTTTCAGGATAGGTGGGCGTGGCTACAACACGAGAAATATCCCAAATTGACTTGGATACGAGTAATGATTTTCAGCAAAAAAATCAATAACTGCCCATTTCAGTGGGATACAGATCTAAAATGGGAAACGTGAGGGTGGGCATTGCACAGGCACTTTAAGCTGAAACAGCCGCTGCTCAAGTGATTTTAGCAATTATGATCATATTTTGATAACTCAATTAGTATTTCCTTGTTCTTATTTTCCAGAATGAATATTAGTTTGTCTTCGTCTGCACGAGAAATTTTAGGCATGTTTATGTTTCTTTCTCGTCTGTGAACAGAAGCGGTGGCACGAGATTTTGCATGGAGGAACGAGATCTGCCCACCATCCCTCGCGCCGAAATCTAGACTCTCTGAAACACAAAGGGTTTCAGCTTGAATATGGAGGGGCGGCGCCCCCTCCCCCAACATTTTTCGACGCAAAGGGCGGTGTTCGCATAGATTTTTGTTCTAGTTGAACGTTCACATTTAGTAACTCGAGCTTTAATTTACAGTTAACCGAACTTCGAGTAAGTGGACACCATAGTTTTTTTCCCGTAACTCGAAATTGTCTATGTTTTCCCGTTACTCGATGTTTGATTTACTGAATGTGGACGTTCAGCAAAAAACTAAAATGTATGTTGCCCGTAACTCGAAGTTCTCTGAAATATAGGCGTGGTCGTTTTTGTAACGCGATGCCCGTAACCCGATGTCTGTAACAGCATCTCGTTCGACATTGCATTTTTCACGCGTTATACCAATCTCCCAGGCAGAGTTCTATTACTTTCGGTGATCTAACCGCAAGGAACTCTGGCATGGAGAATGGCGTTATACACGTCGCTGTGACTCGTACAAGTTTCCGGGAAAACGCATGCGCAGGTAACGACTCCCCAGCTTTAATTGCGACGAGCGCGAATACAACTCAATCAAACGAAGTACTTGTATGTTTATATTCATATACATGTGTATTTAGTATAGTAAATAACGGCCATGTGTGCACGTTATTTGAGATTCAAGGATGTGAGCATTCTCTGACTGGGATCACCCGGTCTCTTAATCTAAACCTTCGAAATACGTGTGTCAAAGGGCGCCACCTCGCGCCGATAAGAGAATTTTAGTCATCAGTGAAATTGTGGAGTATAAATATTTACTTTGAATGCAAAATAAAATGAACTATCCATGCCATGGCGGGATATATCCCGCTATTACCGCCTCTGCATTCTTTTGTAACGAGACCCCTCGACTAGGAAACATATCCATATTGTTATTGAAATGTTCTCGATGCTTACAAATTAGATGTGACAACAATTTTACGTAAATATATATTAAAGCGGGAGGGTCGTCGCGCAGCGCGTGTTCGAATTTCATGTAAATAAACAATGTATTTTACACGCGTTGTATACGTCGCTATGAGTCCCATATCGAACAGGACGCGGCGCGACGACCACCGCCCTTTAAGCTGACGTACAGTGTTAATGCGTATTTATGGCATAAGGGTTTGTCATGGCGAGTATACACCTACAGCTAGGGGCTTCAACCTGAGTTGACAAGTCCCTGTGTTTTCCGCTTGGATTTTGGGTGAGAGTGCTCCACAGCCAGTGGAAGATTAACCCTAAGGGTGTCTTTGACAACACAATGGATGTGTTTGTAAAATTACTCAAATTTTGCTGAAATTTCTGAAAATCTAAAAAATTGGGTAAAAAAAGAAAAAAGATCGACTTGGTCGTTAAGATGGGGGGGGGGGCAAAACAGTGACTCATACCCGTATACTTTAACTATGCGAGTATCTCTCACTCCTCCAGAGGTTCTGTCATGCAACGCGTGTGGTAAGAACCCTCCCCGCCCCTCCAAAATCAAGCGGAAACCTTTTGTGTCAGCAAACTTGCTCCTCAAAATGCAGGAAATAGCTTTTCAGAGGGTCTAGATTTCAAAATGTTTTAGGAGGAGCATGCCCGGACCCCCAGTAAGGTCGCGACTTCGGTGCTAGGTTGGGAGCAGATCTACCCTCCCCTCTCCCCATGCACAATTTCGTGCCCGCCGCTTTTGCTAAAGTGTCATGGCGCACCAAACCAAGACA